TTAACTTGGCGGCATCTGTACTCATGAATTTGCAGCCCTGACTGTAGACTTGTGCTCTCTACAAATGGGTCATCATTGGCCTTGCATTGTGACTACTTAGTGGCCCGGGGAAGGGTTCCCAGGTACCCTTGAGCAAGCCCTGACTCTGGACAATTCTCTGTGTGTCAGAGTTACAACTATGCTCCAAAGGGTTTTCTTTTATTTATTGCTGCTTTGTTAATCAAGAGACCCCCATTTGTCTGTTCATTTAGAAATAAAAATGTTTAAAAACAACTCACTGCCATCAGGATCTTTCCAACTCAGAGCTCAGGAGAAGCTGGTGGCTTCTAACTGCTGTCCATGAGTTCGAAGCCCAGCACATAACCCACCATGATGCTACCAGGGCTCCTAAGAAATAAACAGGCCCCTTTATTAAGCTCCACGGGTTCTCAATGGCTGACTTCTCAGAAGTAAATGAGCAGACCTTTCTTCTGAGGTGCATCTAGACTCAAAACTCTGTCCTTTCCGTGAGCAGCTGAGTGTGTAGACCATTTGTCCCACCTGGGGACCCCAGGGAAGGATTAGCTCACATGAATTGAAGCCCTTTTGGAAGGAGGTGACTGATTGATTTAGCAAGTCTATTTTAAACACATAAACAGCCCAGGAAGAGATGGATGGGCCAGTTATTTGTGGTAGTAAATGCTCTAGGTTCTCTATATTGCTTAACAAGCCATGTAGAGGTTGAAGGAATGTTGGAAAGTTAAATCCTCTGGGACTGAGGAAACGCGGCTGTCGTAGGCCTTGGGCATAGATTCTTTGGGAGAGCTAAGCTGGGTGACGTGTGGCCAAGCAGAGGATGCAATTGGGTTGAGGGCTGCAGGCCACCGAGCGCACCTTCACCTGGTCTCGCTTGCTACTATCCAAGGTCTGGGCCTCCCTCTGCAGCCCAGAATGGTGCTGCATCTTCTAGATACCACATCAGTTAAGTTTTTGCCAAACAGACAGGTCAAATTTATTTATTCCTTTTGACATACATGACAGCTTGACGAATAACATCATAACCAGCTCAGTCCAACTCTGCCATCCAGTCAGTGCTGACTCATAGCGACCCTATAGGGCAGGGTAGAACTTCCCTTGTGGGGAAGTCTTGGGTTTCCAAGACTGTAACTCTTTATGAAAGTAGAAAAAGAATAAACACAGAAAGTTTTGTTTTGTTTCGTTTGTTTGGATCCACAGTCAATGCCGATGAAAGCAGCAGTCAAGAAATCAAATGACATATTTCCCTGGACAAATCTGCTGCCAAGACCTCTTTCAAGTGTGAAAAAGCAAAGATGTGACTTTAAGGACTAAGGTGCACCAGACTTGAGCCTGTGCTATTTTTCACTGCTTCAGATGCATGTGGAAGCTGGATGGTATAAAAGAACAGAAGAACTAATGTGTGAGCTATGGTGTTGGGGGAGCCAAGTGAATCGCGCTTGGACTGCCAGAATAACAAACAGTCTGCCCTGAAAGAAGTACTGCAAACTCCATCTTGGAAGGGAAGATGATGGTGACACTTGATCTCACATTCTTTCAACATGTTATTAGGGGGACAAATCCCTGACAGACATCATACTTGGTCAAGTAGAAGATGCCTGAGAAAGAGGAAGGCCTTCAATGAATGGCTTCACTCAGTGGCTGCAACCTGGGCTCCGTTTCAGCTCCACCATGAGACTGGTACAGGACCAGCCAGTGTGTCGTTCTATTGACAGAGTATCGCTGTGAGTCAGACCCATTTGCCAACACCCAACACCGGGACTCCTTGGGACCTGTCTGCAATTCTTGCTAACATGGTCATGCTTGCTAACATGGTCATGGCAGGCACAGAGAGGCTTTTTCTTAGAGTTGATTCAATCTAGGGAGTCTCAGAATACTAACAACTCACACACAAAAGGCTGACGTTAAAATGTATTCATTTACAACTGGAAAATATAACCCCAAGTGAACCAAATGTGTCAGCTTGACCTAGTGCTTTATCTACATGTAGACAAGTTATTCCAGGGAAGCAGGAGTGCGAGGAAGTTTCTTGATGAGAACATGGCCCAGGAGATTAATGAGATGATTTTAATGTCCAGGTATATTACATACCTGTTGCTGTGTAACAAATTACTCTCAAACTCAGGCACTTAAAGCAACAAACATGTACTATCTCCTCGTTTCTGTGGGTTAGGAGTCTGGTACAGCTCAGCTAGGTGTCTCTAGGTCTCTCTCGAAAGACTGCAGTCAAGGTGTTGATGGCCCATGATCCCTCCTGGACTCTACCTGGAATGCTGCTTCTCCTTGCTAGCCTCCTAGCAGATGGATTAGTACCCTGGGACCACAGTTAACAAAATACCACAAAAAAAAGTGACAGCGAGAGATTGCCTCACAGTTTGGAGGCCAGAAGTAGAGTCTGTAGAGGGTAGAAGGGACTGGCTCTCTCAGCCATTGGTACCTCCGGATGTTGCTTGGCTTTGGTTGTTTTCAATCTTTCTCTCTCGCTCGCGCTCTCTCTCTCTCTCTCTCTCTCTCTCTCTCTGTGTGTGTGTGTCTGCTTTTTTATGAGGCTACCACTCAGACGGGATGAGGACGGTGCCCTGATAGTTCTGTTGTTTCGGCATCACACTGCTCCCTGCAGGCTAGGCAGTTCAGAGCACAGTTGGTAAAGATTTAGTTTGGGTTGCTAGATTCAACTTGATGCCAGTGGGTTTAGTTTCTTTGGTTCTGGCCTTGTATGACCTCAAGTTAACTGATAACTTCGAAGACTCGATTTCCAAATAAGACACCTGATACCAGCCTACATTTCTGGGAAATGCGAGCAATTTAGTCCTTAACAGCAGGTGTCCGGTCTCAGATCCTCACTGGCTATTGGCAGGGACACAAATCAGTCCCTTTCTTTGTGGCCCTTCCCGCAAAGCCTCTCACAACACAAGGAGCCGTGCTGGCACAATGGTTAAGCGCCGAGCTGCTCATCGAAAGGTCGACCGCGTGAACCTTTCCAACTCATTTCATGGGAGAAACGACCTGCGCCCTAACTTCACAGTCGGAGAGAGCCAGGAAGCGGAAGTGCAGGCACAGACGTACGCGAGGGGGCTTCTAAAAGCGTGTGGCAAAGCTCAGTTGTCTTGTAATTCCAGCTTCTCCACACGCTTTTTGAAGCCTGCTCGTCAGTGGCTGCTGTGTTTAGGGGCAAATAAAGGCACCCTGCTCAAAACACCAGGGCCTCATAGCCAGCACTTTATTGCAGCGCAAGCAGTGGAGGAGCTGGGGGGGCCCCAAATTACCCATGGACCGGGGCTCTTCAGCTATACAGTCCTTCCGTCTCCTCATCCCTGAATGTGAGGTGGATTGTCATCCAAAGTGGCTAAGTGAAAGGAGGACACACAAAGCAGCATGTGGAATGGACCAGCCACCACCTTCTCGGTTAATTTGTTTACATCGCCTCCAGAAACCCAAAAATGAAGGCATTCGCCATGGATTTTTGTTTGTTTTTTCACCAGAGCCTTTATGTATTGGTCAGCGTGCTTTGGAAGGTGACGGGGACGTCAATCCTACTGCTTCCACCCATGGAAGAAGAGCTGTACACGGGACAGGCATAGTGCCAATGGGCCCACGGGGACAGGACTGCTTTGTCCCCCTCTTACTCATAGATCCAGTCATAGCCACGAGACTTGTAGTCCACCAATTCCTCCAGCTTAAACCAGAGGCTGATTTCTTCCTCGGCGCTTTTGACCAAATCAACTGCCATAAATGATGTTCCTGTCAACTTGAACACAGAAGTCCCCTCGGATGGTGTCGGGCTTAGAATCCGCAGGGTTAGTCTCCCCCAGCATCATCTGGCCCGTCTTCACCATGCTCAACCCCTCCCAGACTGTGGCCACCATTGGTCCCAAGTTCATGTACTTCACTCACCAGCCCTGGGAAGAATGGGCGGTCTTTCAGGTCAAGGTCAAGTGTTGCTTCAGGTGCTCCTCAGAGTCCTTAATGAACTTCATGGCCACCAGGCAGAATTCCTTCTGCTCAGAGAGCTTGGTGATGTCCCCCACCAGGCCATGCTGCACACTGTCTGGTTTGATGTCTATGAAGGTGCATTCATTGTTGGTAGCGGTGCAATTCAGATGGCCAGGGAATGGGCAGCCGGATCCATGCAGCTCGAGCCAGCCATGGATATTTTTTATGTGTGATTCTTTGGTGACCCTCCCTAAGGTTGTGTGTGTGTGTGTGTGTGTGTAAATATGTAAATATAGGAGGGGGCTTCAGAAAATTGGTAGTAAAAAAGGGAATTGAAGGTAATAGAAAATTTCCATGAACTTTCAGATCCCCCTAGTGTATATAAGAGTACGTGGAGCTTTTGTGTGCACAACTTTTGAGTGTACAATTCAGTGGCATCGCCCTGAGCGTTTTGAAACGAAGGGAACATCTCTAGTTTTCTGTTCGACAGAAGCTAATAAGCCCACCCTGATAGTCATTACAACAGCTTTTCTTCAGATAAACTAGATCTCCCCCCTGGCTTTGCTTCTGAGGAACGCAGCCAGCGGAGCAGTGAGGAAACCACTAGAGGGTGGCCAAGGTGCTCACGCTGGGCTCTGCTGCCCACAGGGCCTGGTGGAGACCTCCGAGGAGAAGGCCCCTGTGTCTGTGGCCTGCGGTGGAGAGAGCCCTCTGGATGGCATCTGCCTCAGTGAAGCTGAGAAGACAGCTGTGCTCACCTTGATAAGAGAAGAGGTAACCTGTTTCTTGTTTGGTCTGCTTATCACTCCGTTTCTTTGTCTGGGCCAAGTGTGGGGGTCGGGGGTGGGGCTAGATTTCAGCTCTATGGGCTTGAATGATTTCAGGCTGAGTCCTGCCACTTGCTGCATGCCTATGAGAGGATACCCCCCTCCCAATGGAACTTTTTTCAAAGCTATATATGTAAAATTTTTTTTACAAAATAACCTTATCACCTTCAAAGTACTCTCCATTACACTTAATACATTTGCCCAATCTGCAGTTCCATTCTGGGAAACATTTTTCAAACTTATCTGTTTTGATGGCTGACAGCACCTCCCTTGTCTTTTTCATCTTTTTCGTCTGTTCTACATTAGCAAATCTCTGTCCTTTCATGTCCCTCTTCATTCAAGGAAACAAAGAAATCGCACAGTGTGAGGTCAGGTGAGTACGGTGCCTGGGGCAGAGAGCTATGCTGGTTTTTGCCCAAAACTGTCAACTGAGATGGTGGTGTTGGCAAAGCCAGTCCCCCGTCTGCCACAAATTAGGCCTTCTTTGTATCACTATTACACTATCTTTTCAGAACCTCTAAAGAGAAAGCTTGATTAACAGTCTGATCTTGTAGAATGAACTCCAAATCCGTTATCCCTATCACATCAAAAAAACAAATAAGCATCGTCTGGATCTTTGATTTCACATGATGAGCTTTTTGAGGGACAAGGTGACAGTGACATCTTCCACTGGCTGGATTGATGTTTGCTTTTGGGGTCGTCAGAGTAACACCATGTCTCATCACCAGTAATGACCTTGGAAAATATAAGTCTGGGTCACTTCGTAACTGTTCTTTCAGAGCACAGCATGTTTCCAGTTGACGCTCTTTTTCTGGTCAATCAGAACCCAGGGCACAAATTTCACAGCAACCCATCTCATTCTCTAATCTTCCATTAAAATTCACTGAACTAAGCTCCAAGACAGTCCAGATAAATTTCTCATCTCTTCAGTGGTCCGTTGGTCTTCAGGCACAAGTGCATGAATTTTGTTGATGAATTTTGTCAACACTTTGTTCCATTCGGGAAGTTGACGGACCTTCCAGAACAAAGGTTGTCATCAATCAACATTTCACCTTTTTTGAAATGAGAAAATCACTTGTACACTTGAGTTTTTCCCATAGCACTGTCCTTGTAAGCTGTGATCAACATCACAACAATTTCTGTGGCATTTTTCCCAAGCAAGAAACAAAATTTCACAGCTGCATATTGTTCTCTTCAATTGGCTATCACAAAAAACAAGGTTTGTGCAAAACTGCTTTTACAAAAAATGTCCTGTGACTAGAGAGAACCTTCCCAGGTGACGCCACTGGATTGGATTAACTAACTCGGAGAGAGTTGCTGGATGCTCGCCTAGTGGGAAAAAGGAGTGCTACGAAAGTCCCACCCAGTGAAGCTTTTTTTGGTTTGGTTGTTTGTATACTGACTGCTGCAGCCACATTTCCTGGAGTGTGTGTGTGTGTGAGTGAGAGAGAGACAGACAGAGACAGAGATATTATTGGGACTGAGGGGAGCTGATGCTCTGAAATGCCTTCACAGCTTTGGGGCCCCTTTTTTGGCCCTACTGTTTTGAGTATCTGCTTTGGAAAGTGTACTCACGTGTATGAGGAACTCTGTTTTCATTTTGTCAGAGAGTGCATGTCCATGCCTCATGGGTCCTTCAGTTGTGGACTTGCAGTGATGTAAAAGTGTCCTTGCCCTCTTTCACTCTTGCAGAATTCCAGGATTGGGCCTTTGAACTCCTCTGTTTAACGTGGATGATAGCTGGGCCTCTCCTGGCAACCTGGGAGGGGGTTGGGGGGAATACACACACACACACACACACACACACACACACGCGCGCGCGCGCGCACACAGAGACAGACCCTTTTTCGGGCTGTTAGTCAGATACCACTCTCTCCCATTGGGTTTCTGGGCTGTATTTTATGTTTAGTTTGTCGATTTCTTGATCTTTTTTTTAGAAGATCATTATCTTGACGTAAAGGTTTTATTTTTGTCATAGGACGAGAGTTGGTAAGTATCTGATAGCAGCTTTTGAAAGCTTTATAAAGTAACATTAGGTTGGTAATGAAGGGCTTCAACCAGTCCACTTGTCAGTGTCTGGAGTTGTAGATATGTAACCCCCAAAGTCTTAGAATTGAGAAAAATAACATTGTTCTGAGAGTTAGTGTCAACCCCTAATGTATCAAAGCAAAGATGTTCCTCGTTACCTGAAGCAAAGAGTTTGGCTTCTAGGTTCTTAAGACCTGGATAAAGGCACCAAAATAAAGAACATACAGGTCAGAGAACAGCGCAGCCAGGGAAGTGCGGGACAGGACAGTGATGAGGGCGGGTTTGGCAAGGTAGAGATGGAGTGTGAGGTTGTCTTGGAACCCTCGAAAGAAACAGCTAATAGCATGTGCACATCTAGATTACAGAGAGATTTACTTCAAGGGACTGGCTCATGGGATCATGGGGCTTGGAAAATCCAAAACCTGTAAGTCAGGATTCTGCAGGCATGGGCCCCCCAGATTCACAGGTGCAGAGCTGAGAAAGAATTGTGCCAAAATGTACTTACGGTCTGCAGAGCACACACTGAGGAACTCCCTGTTTTACCGGATTGATTACATTATACTAGATTACACATGGAAGATGGTTACATCATTTTGTATTGGATTGC